ATCTAAAAGTGCACATAGTTCAAAATTATCCTGAGGGTGTGGGCGTGCGAGTGGGATGCGCATCAAGAGTAGAACTACAGCAACACTCCACTCACACCTTACAGTAGAACTTGTCAGGTTCCGTACTAACTTTGGGCTCCCTAATTGTTGAACAATTCAAGCAGACTAGTTGCATTTTCTAATGGGTCCAAAATGATCTAAAAGCGTTCCTCACCTAAGTTAGAGTCATAACAAGCATATTGACGCAGTCAAGGTATGGGATAAACAGTTCGACAGAATCGAAATATGAATAATAACAGCTGAATTATAAACTCCTTACTGGAAAACAAAGAGACCTTAATGGCACTGTGCTTGCCTGATTTCTAGAATTTGTGTTTTTTCGACTGTTCAAAATGAAATTCTGACCGAGTTTATTTTGCTTTTAATAGAGATTAACTTGTGACACTCCATATTTTTGTTTTAATCTTCACCGACCATAATACAGGTTCTCACACATTTAGCTGTTCGTGTAATGGTTGTCTTTGAATATGTAGGGTAAGTTATTCAATGTTTCATGGTATAGATATAACTGCTGCTTTAAAAGGGGCGTTTTCATTAATCAATACATGATCAACAATGTCTAATCCTCAATAATTACAAAAGATGAAAGTTGAAATCAAGTTTACAAGATCCGTCTGATTTGATTCAAGTCATCGAACCAAGTAACTCAGTGACATTTGAATTTACCTAACTATCAACTCACAAAGAAAAATGTATCAACGCGTTAGATACTAATACGAATTGCTTTCTTTTCTCTCTATGCGTCATATATCTGTGTGATCTTTTCACTTCTCTCCTACTGTTATATATGTGTCATACTTTATGTCATATACATAAGCCATTTTCTCTTCCTGTTCACCAGCTAGGCATTTTCCAATGTTGTCAACACTCACTAAGGTTTTCCTTATATTTTACATGGATATTTCCAACACAGCGAATTGTTCATCATCGTATACAGGGTTGGAAATAATATTATTCCAGGGGGTGTCACTATAAATTCAAATAGAAGACATAATGAATTTTATATCAAATGAAACCTCATCAAAAATGGAGTTTACTGATACCAAATAGTGAAGGACACGAAAAATTTTAATGTCGAACTTAAGAAATTTTCAGAAATTCTATACTCATTTCGGGGTGAAAAATTAAGGTGTCAGTAATTTAAAAATGGAGTAAAATTTGTTTTCTTGGATATTTTTACACGGTTCGATAGAACTCGTCGAGCTCTACAAAACTGTATATATTAAAAGAATTTTAAGTTATCTTTTTGCGATGAAACATTCAAGAAACTACTTGGAAAATCTTAAAAAACTCATATTTTTTATATGGAACAAAAACACTCGATTTTTCAATAACATTAGATTTTTTTATTATTTTTGCTGCCTTAGGAGTTTCGAAATATCCTAATTCAATGCAGCGTGAAAAACGTCATCCAATGAGTATATTTCGAAACATCACAGGTAGTAAAAATAATAAAAAAATATAATTTTATTGAAAAATCGAATGTTTTTGTTCCATATAAAAAATATGAGTTTTTTAAGATTTTTCAAGTAGTGTTTTGAATTTATTATCGCAAAAAAATAATTTAAAATTCTTTTAATATATACAGTTTTGTAGAGCTCGACGAGTTCTATCGGACCATGTAAAAATATCCAAGAAAACAAATTTTACTGCATTGTTAAATTACTGACACCTTAATTTTTCACCCCGAAAACAGTATAAAACGGTGTGGGTGTGGGCGTATCAGCAGTGATAAACACTGGCACCCACACTCATTCCCGCACCCACGCCCACATCCACCCCATTACTCTCCTTCTTCTCTCTTTGTCTTCTGTGTGCGCTAACGTGTCTATGGGTGGCGTATAAAGAGTAGAAAGTTTTTATTTTAATAAATCGATTGACTAGTCAAGAAAAATTTCCTCATTATGTTAAAACTGTCGTTGCAGAGATCAGCTTCTGGGATATACATTTTAGGACAAGAATTCACTTTTTATCTTCTTTTTTCGTTTGGTGTTTCGAGCGGTGTCTTCCATTTGATTTGCCTGTCAACAGTTGATCTCTTTAGTGTATCAGAATGGAAACTACTTTCGAGATCGTTCTTTTTAACTTCTTAGTGTTTGTTTTATAACTCAGTTCTATGTCTCTTTCTATGAAGTGTTTAGCAGTTACTTTAATCTTTCTTATTCTTGTTGTTGTTTCTCTACATACTCTTTTAATTGTAAAGAAACTAGACAGATTATATTTATTAATCTTGAATAAAGTGACAAAAGCATTTTTAATCTTCAACAAACTAAATTAAGGAGGTTCTATAAATAATATATTTTTATATATTAATTAGAAATTGGAAAAAAAAGAACGAGACTATAAGTTTAATCATCGTTGTGAAGTTCCTTCCATAAATATAAAAAACAAGTCATTGTGTACTATCCAATGAAAACCTTGAAAATTATAGTAATGTGTTTAATCGATCAAATATCGTGTTGCTTGTTTTTATTTTCTGAAGAAATAAAATACTTATTATGCGATACACTATTCTGTAGTTTCGTGCACATAGAATAGAATTATTTTCAAGAAGTATATTCGACGTCGTTCGATATATAAGAATCAGTTTTTTTTTGCGGAATCTTGCTTGTTGCAGCTGTTCTCGTCACATATATCTGCACACTTTTCTTCAAAATACTTCTCACTTTCACTGGTATACATGGATGTGGGTCAATCGATATGTATAATAGACTTGCTCAGGTGTCATTTTTTTTATTGATTTTTTGATACAAATAAGTTCTCTTTCGTTCTGTGAGATTGAAAAAATGGTCGAAGACGCTTGAATGATGCACGACCTCGAGAAAAATGAAATACTATCATCTAATGTTCTTTTCATGATATTATATGTATTGTCGACAACCTGTTCTCCATATAATCGACAAGCTGAAAAGTTTTGAAGATATATTAAAAAAATGATCACTATTGATTATAAATATTCAATTTTGGTATCAACAACCATGTATGGGACTTTCATGAAACGTTCTTATAATCACAGAAAGATAAAACAAAAGTTCTTATCACATATCCTCTCAGTTAAGTACCATTTTACGGTACGAATCAGTAGTCGAAAGTTTACAGAATCCGACTCCCGTTTGAATCTCTTTTGGAAAGAATTAGAGATCAAGTAGCTCTCGCATAAAAATTCGAAAATCATCAGTATTATTATCATCAAATGGAAGTGTTGATGCTAAAGGACTCGCAACATACTAGTTAGTGCTTCTCAGAGCATACGGTTGAATCATATGTGAAATCGATAATGTCGTAAGACTAGAACCCAAAATTAGTTTGATAGTGTCGCTCCACATTTGAGCCATAGGTGAATCTTTTTGTAGCAAAATATAAAAACGGCATACGACAGATACAATTGCTTGTTGCAACTGCTGAAACGTGAACACAAATACTTGAGAAAGATTGAACAAATGAAGCATCTTCAAGTATTTCATACCACAATCTCGCTCTGATCGATGCTTATTAATTCATCAATGTAATCCTAGGCAAATAGTACGCAATCTACCCTCAATCAATTTGTTTTATTTATAGACATATGCTTGGATAATACTGACGTATGTGGTGTTATGAATTTTTTCCTATATACGTATTAGTATAACCACAAAGAATCGATCATTAATTCAGCATGTTTTATATTGAAATTCATATATTTTTATCTGATATCACTGTTTAAATGAAGCACAAATGAAAATAGTGAATGTTGATCTGAGATTTCGTTCGTAATTTCGTTTACTATTCATTAGAATGACTTGAAAGTTTCAACAGAAGCAAATATTTCTCCCTTGAAATCATGATTTTCTAATAGGAGTCATTTATCATGGGAACAAAACAAACCATCAAGATCTCAAAAAGAAAATAACACATTTGTTTTCTCCAACTAATTTCCGGTTGATTCTAATGAAGAATGGATTTATAGATGGATGTTGTATTTGAAATAAGTTATTGCCATAATAAGAGATAATATCAGGCATGTTGCTGATTAACATATTGCCTGTACTAGTGATGAAAGATGAAATTAGTCTTAGAATTCAAATAAAGAGTTAAATCGGTTGTTTCTTCTCCTCTTTTTCGGTCTTTTAAAAATTCTGTTTATATTCTCTTCGATATCTCGATGATCCCTCGATGAAATATGTCTACATTTATTCGTTTATGTTCATCCGTTTTTTTTTCTTTTCTGTCACATGTTCATTTCTATCGTTTTCTTCATTACAGATGCTAAATTCGATCGATAAAACTACCAAACGTAATCATATTCCACCGATTAAAAATAATTTACCAGAACAAATAAAAATTTTTCAAGATTCTATAAAAAATGATCAAACAAAAATGAATAAACCGAATACATTATCAACGTAAAAGACAAATTCATTTACTTGTTCATTTTTAAATTGTTGTCTTTAGATCCAAAGATCATAAACCTTTTCCTCAAAAAATGTCAGCAACAACTAATGATGCATCTCATTCAATAATTACAACAACTACAACTACAACAACTACTACTACAACAAAAGCCATTAATCCGATTAATAGTCATAGTTTAGGTATTTAATTTGCTTTTTTTTAAATAAAAATAATGTGTAGATCTTAATTAACTTTTTCTTTTAAGCTGAATGTATATGCCCACTTTGTAATGAAATCTATCAAATGACTTGTCATCGACCAATTAGTGAAATATCATGTGGTCATATTATATGTTATCAATGTTTTGTTCTTAATACAAATCAATTCGGCTGTATACAATGTAAAAAATCTTCAGAAGTAATTTGACACAAAACAACTACGCATTTTATTCTTTTCATGAAAATTCTATTTAGAAAAATAATGATAATATTAAGTTATCATCCATTAAAAATGTACCATCGGATAATAAGAATACGATTCAACAAGTAGTTAATGAAAAATTTGAAAACCATTCATCGAATTATAAACATCGAATTCTCAATGCTTTTCATCATGTTTTTGGACTTTCAGAAGTTTGTATATTAATTTAATTATAGTGGGTGTTTCAAAAATTCATCGAGAAAAAGAATGTGAATAATTCAAGTTATACATATGGACTTTCTTTAAAGTTTTGTTTCGCTTGCTTTGTGGTGATACCTCGCGTGTGAGATGAAACTCCAGTCATTAAATAGGGCCGGTTGAAACTAGAAGAAGTCAAGGATGATTTTAGTCCATGCACTGCTCTTTTAAAGTTATGTACACCACAAGGAGTTTCTTTTAACTTTGGCATAGAATTTATAAAAAAAACTGAAGAAATGAATTTCAGCCTAAAACTTTGTCTATAGACATCTGTTAAAGTCGTTGGAACATCTACCTAGTGATTGGAGGGTCATCTCAAATGTGAGGTTTCACAAATGTGTTACTATATAGAGAATTCGAGATATATTAAATCCAATGAGTATAAAGCTTATAGAAAAGAATGATTTCTTTGAATTTGCATGTTAAAGAAAATATTGTCTATAAACTAATGCAGTTCATGATCGAAATGCGAAGACACCGTATTTTGTTGAAACACTTACTGAGTTCTGTCATAATTCTGCATACTATTAAAAAATATTTCAAGCAACGACGAATTTTGACTATTAACATAAACTACATCGTTTTTTTCTCCTGTCATTAGTATAGGATGTACAGTATGTAATTTGCCTGTAACAAGTATCAGTTTCATCAAATTTTCTAATTCATACAAATTGTTCGAACTGTTCAAGAACTATTCAAGTTTTTTTTTATGCCGAAGAACTTGTAAAACACTCTGTATTTTGGAAAATGATTCAAATTTTAGTTTCGACATAATCAATGGGAAGCTATTAATGCGGCGCTTCAACAGCATGATTG